TAGTCCTTTGTATTCAGCCTCAGTTGATGAACGAGCCACAGTACGTTGTTTTCGACAAACCCATGAGACAAAATTGGTCCCCAAAAATACAGCAAAACCACTAGTAGATTTGCGATCATCAGGATTGCCAGCCCAATCCGAATCAGAATATGCATGAATATCTAGAGAAGGAGAAGACGTAATCTTAAGACCAAGATGTAGTGTCCCATTTACATACCGTAACACCCTCTTGAGAGCTGCCCAATCCGTAGTAGAGGGAGAGTGCATGTGTTGACACAAACGATTGACTGCATAGGAAAGATCAGGCCGAGTTACCGTAAGATATTGCAGAGCACCTGCAAAGCTGCGATACTGAGTGGGATCAGCGTATGGTACCACGGCATCAGTCTCGGCCTTCGTGGTTGAAACCGGAGTAGCCACGGGCTTGCAATCAACCATACCTGCTCGTTTTAGAATATCCTTCATGTACCGTTGTTGAGACAGAAGCATGCCATCAGACAACGGAATGGTCTCAATACCCAGAAAGAACGAGGGCACACCCATGTCACGAACTTTAAACTCAAGAGCCAACTTGTCAATAAGAGCAGTACTTTAAACTCAAGAGCCAACTTGTCAATAAGAGCAGTCACATGAGCCGGATCAGATCCCATAACCAAAATATCATCCACATAAACCAGAAAATATAAACGAGTATTGTCATGTGAATATATAAATAGAGAGACATCCGTCTTGGAAGGTGAGAAACCAGCAGAAACCAAAAAATCATGCAAACGAGTGAACCAAGCACGGGGAGCTTGCTTAAGCCCATATAAAGAACGTTGAAGGAGACAAACGTGCCCGGGCATCGTTTTGTCTTCATAACCAGGGGGCTGGCGCATATAAACCGTCTCAGCGAGATTGCCATTTAGAAAAGCATTGTGTATGTTCAACTGTCGAATAGTCCATCCACGAGAAATAGCTAAGGATAAAAGAAGACGTACCGTAGTCGGTTTAACAACGGGACTAAAGGTCTCAAAGAAATCCTCGCCGGCAATTTGATTGAATCCCTTGGCAACTAACCGAGCCTTGTAACGCTCAATCGAACCATCAGCCTTTCTCTTGGTTCTAAACACCCACTTACATCCAACTACATTCATACCTAATTTAAAGGGAACAAGCCTCCATGTATTGTTGTGCACCAAGGCATTAAATTCCAAATCCATTGCATCCCGCCATTCAGGAAATTTAACCGCTTGAGTAAAACATGTAGGTTCAGGAGTAACAGCAGCAGCAGATAAAGCAACATGATCATGTGGTCCCGAACTTCTCGTATTCATTCCATGAGAGCGAACGGGTGAGGGCGCGTGACGAGACCGACCACGAGGCCGGCCTCTTGGCCGAGGAGCCGGCTGGTCCGTGACTGTCCGCTCGGACTCGGTCACAGGCTCGGCAGTAGCAGGCTGCTGGCGGTGGTGATCAGAAGCGGCTATGGGCGCGGCAGGAGGGTCAGAGTCGTGACAATAGTCGGATCACCACCAGAAACAATTGGTGCAACACCCCACGGCTCCGGGCGTGGTTTTAGAACCTGCGAATCCACAGAAGCAACAAAAGGAAAGACAGCCTCATCGAATCGCACATGGCGACAGATAAAAACCTTGTTAGTGTTAGTGTCTAAACAACGATAGCCACAAAAGGATGGAGGATATCCTAGAAATACACAAGGGGATGACCGAAACTGTAGTTTGTTGCGATTATAGGGACGCGGATTTGGAAAGCATAAACACCCAAAAACACGTAGATATGAATAAGATGGAGGAGACCGATGCAAAAGATAATGAGGAGATTTATCATATAAGACAGGAGTGGGCATTTTATTGATTAGATAAATCGCAGTTTCAAAAGCATAATCCCAAAAACGAGACGGAACAGAGGATTGAGCCATTAATGCTAGTCTCGTTTCAACAACATGCATATGCCTACGTTCTACCCGGCCATTTTGTTCATGAGTATACGCACATGATTTCCTGTGACGAATACCTAAGGACGCAAGAGTGGAACCAAGCTTTTTATATTCTCCCCCTAAATCAGATTGAAAAGAAATAATCTTGCGAGAAAAGGAATGTTCAACTAGTGACCGAAACTTATCAAATATAGCATACAAATCAGATTTAGCACGCATGGGATAATACCACATATAACGAGTGTAATCATCTACAAACAACACAAAATATTTAAAGCCAGACGCAGAAAGTAATGGCGCAGGGCCCCAAATATCTGAATAAATTAATTCCAAAGGATGCGTACTAGTGGTTTCGACACGAGACAAAGGAAAACGAGAAGATTTTCCTAATTGACAAGAGGAACAGACATTGGGAAGATCACTAGAATTAAATGTACCAACAGACGAAGACGCTAAAATTTTACGTAAGACTCGAGAATGAGGATGCCCCAACCGCATGTGCCAAACGTAAGAGGACCGTGCAGCAATAAATGCAGCAGGGGAAGCAGAAGATGCAGGCCATGTGTAGAGACCCCCAGACGCATGTCCCTTAAAAAGAACCTTCTTGGTCAAAATGTCTTTCACATAGAAACAAAGAGGGTGGAACTCAAAGAAAACATTATTGTCCTTTGCAAAACGCTAGACAGATAATAGAGAAGAAGAGAGACCAGGGACATGCAAAACATCATGTAACTTAAAAGACATAGAATCAGTGGCTAACGAAGCAGAATCAACATTAACAATAGGCAAACATGTACCATTGCCGACTCGCAGAGTCTCCGGGTCATCATAACTTGTCGTAGAAGTCATCAAAGAAGAATCAGGCGTTGCATGATTTGTAGCACCAGTGTCAGGGAACCACTGATGAGGACCGTTGGAATCACCATTATCACCAGAGACGGCCACATTAGCCTGAAAACCCGGAGCCCCTGAATAACGCCGAAAACAGTTGGCTCCCGTGTGACCAAAACGATCACAAATTTGACACGGATCATCATAGCGCCAAAAACAATTGGCTCCCGTGTGATAAAAACGGTCACAAATTTGACACGGATCATCATAACGCCAAACACAATTGGCTCCCGTGTGGCCGAAACCGTTACAAATTTGACACGGATCATCAATGTCACATCGTTGACCGGACCGCTTCTGATACGATGTATCTTGGTTTGATGCCATCGGCTACTGCTACGAAGTGAGGAACATGGATGTTGGAAAAGAAAACCCTGGCTAACTGATACCAGATGAGAATATAATTGTGTTGTATTCAATAATAATGTCTGAGAGTACAGGGAGCGAATATATAGAGATGCTAGATATAATCCTAGTCTAACACGAATAATATAGTCCTAGTCTAATATGGATAATAGAGTCCTATTACGTAGCAACAACCAATCCTTTTATTTAATTTTTTTGTTATACCATTTTTTCAATTTAATTTTGTTTTTAAAAAAAAAATAAAAAATTAGGCAATGTAAATATAATTTTAATTTTGTAATTATTAGTAACTTAGTAATTAGTAGTTTGATTTTAATTTTATAATTATCTTTTCAATTAAATGTACGTATTTTTATTTAAATTGATTAATTTTCATTACAATTATAACTTTACAATTAAAATAAAAAATTAAAAAAATTAAAATATAGTATAGTAAAATGGTGGGTCACAAATTTTTTTTTTAAAAAAAAAATCCAAAAATTAATGGAGAGAATGATTTTTGAGATTGGGTGAGATAGTGGACGTTGGTACCAAAAGAAACTAGAGGAAAAAACTCATTGATGAGGTTGCTCTCATATTTTCTTTCCAATCCTTCTCTCCTTTTCTCCTTTTTTTTTCTTTTTTTTTTTTGAGCCCTACCCTCCACACTCTTACACATCATCTATTATTTTATTCACTTTTTTTTTTTACAATTAATAATTTCAACTTTATAATTATAATTATAATTTTAAATAAAATTAAATTTAAATAAAAATAAATAATTTTTGAATGATAAAATATGATTTTATAAACTAATCAAAATATAATTTCAATATAAATTAATATTTACCTTCAAAATCGTCTATTGAACAAACTAACATTCGGAATCGAATACAAAATTAAATGTCATATATACCGACAATTAATACAATTAAAAAGTTTAAAAATAAATTCAAATACAGAAATTTAAAAAATATAATAACAAAAAAAAAGTATATAAAAAAAAAAAACTGAAATAGCCATTGAAAACAACTTTTAAAAACAATTTTTTATTTTTTTTATAATAAAACAGAGGGTGGGGATCTGCGAGTGAAGATGGCACGTGACTAGCACATGCCATCTATTAGTCAATAGTGATGACCACGCGCCACACGCGCAACAGATTTTCTCCATAGAAACAGTTCTCTACAAAACAATTTTCTGGCAAATTATATCGTGCACCAGGGTGCACAATGCATTGTGCGTCCTGGCCCAAAACGTCGTCGTTTTGTATCTGTTTTTTTTTTTTTTGAAAATTTTATTTCCCGTGTCTGCTGTTAACTTCTAGAAAAAAAAATCTTATGTTTCAAATGTACATAATTGTATAATAAAATGTACATAAAATCCTAACATAATACACATAATCTTCTTTAAAAAGATAATACACATAATCTAACATAATACATAATATACATACTCTTTAACTCTTAAAAAAAATTCCATATTTCGAATGTACATAATTGTATAATAAAATACACATAAACTCCGTCGCTTCAACTCTCCACACAACTTAACAAAACGACATCGTTTTGCGCCAGGCGGGACGCATTATATAACGATTGCAATTTCCTCCTCTCCCCTCCAATGCTTTTCTCCCCTTTTATCACCTCTTTTCTCCTTGATTGGAGATGCCCTAATAACATTGATTAAACAAAAATATAAATCCTTTATGGACACATCGCGAGAGTAATATTACACAAAGTACACCAAACGTTTTTTCTCTGAAATTATGATGTTTCATGGACTCAAGACTAACTATAGGCCTAAAAACAGAAAAAAAAAAAAAAAAAAAAAATCAAACATTTACCACCATGCCGATTACAAATTTGAGTATAAAATTTGAACACTGTTTGCAATTTATATGAAACACATCCATACTCTTACTGTATACATTAAAATTTCCTACTTGCTATGTTTCTCTTTTTCAATAATCATTCATCATCCACAGAGAAATCTGGTTCTGCTGGCTTCTGAAGAGAGCTAACAGCACTGGAATCTGAATCAGAGCGCTTATGATACTGATGATGAAGCCTTCTACCACCTGCAAATCTTGCTGCATACACTGCAAAACCCGAGCCAGGCGGCAGCGCATTCACGTCCGCTTCCTTCTTCTTGCTCGGCGCTTGGCTGTCGCCATTCGCCCCCGCGCTCTCCATTGCTCGGACCCGAGCTGTATTCTTCCGCTTCTTGAATCTCCGCCACGCTGCCTGGATGAAAGTTGCGGCCCACGTTCGCCATTGGTGAGAGTGGAACCTGAACTTGTGCCTCAGTTGCTTGCTGTGCAGTCTCCTGAACTGTGCTGCCACGAACTTCAGGTCGTCCGCCTCCAGGGCGAACGCCTCCACTTCAGAAACCGCCTTCACGGTGCGCGTGGAAGACGGCAGGTTTATGCTTGGGCGCGGGTCGAGCGCCCATGTCAGCAGCTCTTCGCCACAGAAGTCACCTGTATAATATATAAAACACTTAAAATTTTTAGTTAAGACAGAACATATATATGCTTTAGTTACCTATAGTCCTATATCAACTTAAATTTTTAGTTAAGACGAAACATATGCTTTAGTTACCTATAGTTGTATGTCAGTTAAAATTTTTAGTTAAGACGGAACATATATTATGGTTTAGTTACCTGGACCAATGCGGCAAGAGTCGAAGAACCCCGTGCGGCCACCATTGGTAGTGTAGGAATCAAGATTTCCCCGGATTATGAACAACATTTCGTTGACAGGATCGCCCTCGCGCACGAGGCAAGTGGCTTGGGTGAACAAAGCGGGCTTAAGCCTCTCGCATATGGCGTCTAGCATCCTTTCATCCATTTGGTCAAATAAAGGGACCTATGGAAATGAAAAACGAGTAAAGCATCACTTGGGAGCTTAAAGTCTAGTGGACTGATTAATCTGTACAGACATACATACCCCTCGAACTAGATCAAAGCATAGGTGTCGTTTGATGTCCCGACGTAGGTCGGGAGGAAGTCCTTTCAACAGAGATTCCTCGTGGACTCCTCGGGTAGCAATCCATTTATATTGATCATACTTCCTCACAGACTGCCTCAATTCCTGAGGAAGCTGCCTGTGATGCATCCACTGTTCTGTATCTGTTCTCCTGATTCTCCATTCCTCTAATCTAACGGTGGTCGATTGAAGATAAGTCTGCCAGATCAGAAAATGTGAGATTAGTTCATAGCCTAGCTAGCAATTCAACCCACTACACTTACTTGCATATTTCCAATGAGCAGTGCGAATAGAACGAGCCCCAGAATCGCGACTACAATAGCAAAGCTTATTTCTCCAACGTATGTGCTCGTAGAAAGATTTTGGCCCAAAGAACTGCAGACCCACCGTACGGATGATAAGTATTAGAATCAAAAGAGAGCTAGCGGTCGTCCCTAAATGGGGTCAGACCGAGGCTTGATTCTTACCTCAGGTTCCTCAAGCCCCACCACAGACAGTAGAAGTACTTGTTTAAAAAGTTTGCAGATGTGACAGATTCTGTCACAGCATCACCGTACATACCAAACCGGTAATCACTGCTCTCGGGGTTGCACTGGCTCGTGATATTACTAGCCCGGAACCAGGCGTTTCTTTGCGAGTCCTTCGCCCTTTGGCAGTCAAAGTAAGTGTACTGGCAAGACGGGGTCTCAAGAGTGCAAGCATGACGCCAGCACGCTTCCTGTCTCTCGATTGATAGAAGATACCAGCAAGCACCCAATATCTATTTTAATTCAATTCGCAAAGAGAACACATCTAAAGTAGTAACAAAAGATAAGTATTGAATTACGAAATCATGATTTAAACTTACATGGCTTGCTAGCATATACAACATCAAGTTGTAAGCAGCGCCCGCCCAAGCTGTTTCAGTCACGACGCCAGTGGCCTTGACAATTTGGGACGACAATGGCACGATGAGATATAGCCTAGGAAGGTACTGAAAAATGATGATGAATCTAAGTACATTCTTCGTATTCGCTGTGGCCGAGCCACTCAGATTAGGAATGACAGCCCACAGCAGTACCTGCAATGCAAGCATTTAATTTGTTTTATATATGTTTCACCCAAAACCTTAAAACCAACAAAAACCCGTTACCTGAGGAAGAGGCAAAGCAGCAACGAGGTCGATCCAGAAACCTTTACGCAAGTATCTCAATGCTATCTTTGAAGAATCTACAACAAGCTCTCCTCTCCCAAATACTTGAGAAGATGGAGCAATATAAGCAGTCCTAAACCGAACTAAAACATGAATCGTGTATAAGACATCAACTATTGACCTTATAATCACGAGCACGACTTTGTGCCTGTTCCCAATATCTATGCAGCTGTTATCCCCAACGACGGGCAAGTAAAAGAACAGAGGATCCACAAACAACGACACTAAGCAACCTACTAAGAAGATCTTGTTCCATCTATGGATTATTGACCCTCGAGGATCCAATATCTTTTTCTTCACTCTCTCATAGTCTTCTGAGAAAACCCGAGACAATACTTTAATTCTCAGCGATTCCCCGTTCTTCCCATCACCCTTCCTAGACCTCAGCTCTGGCAGCCATGTTCCATCAATCTTGTACTTAACCTTAATCACGTTATCTCCATTACTATTATTCCCATATTTTGCTGCTGATTCAAGATCATCTTGGAATCTGAAAGTTACGCTACCCAAATTAAACCAATAAACTTATCCATACCAAAAGTAGAATGAATTACAAGTCAAAGGAGGTGAAGGGAGACAAACCTTACAGATTTTGATTTATTATAAGCCATGGTGGGAAGTCGAAAAGCCTTTCACCCTGGGTTCAGTACTCAGTAGTGGTTTTTGAACTGCCAAACATGGAAGAAAGGGTCTCTCACTATCACAATTCACAAATGAATGACCAGAAAACGACACGACAGTAGAGAATTAAGGTACTTGTGTTTTGGTTCACAAACAAACAGGTTTATACTCATGTTAATTGCAGATAAAGAACAGGAGATTCCATGGGTCTTCACTCAGACAAAAAATGTTCAGGTCAAAGCTCTGACCTATTCTTCATCCTTAAACATCATTTTCCTAAAGCCTTTTGACTTCTAATTTCAGTTGAATTAGAACCAGTAAATACGCAGAAATCTTCTAATTAATTCCAGGTGAACCAGAACCAGTCAATTAACACCATCAAATCTTCCATACCCTCTACTGCTTCAACATATCAACATTCCAAATAACCCATTTTTCTGTCAAATTCAAACCTTTTCAGAATTCAAAGAAGCAAGGAGAACACAAAAAAACCACCAACTAATAAGAGCAGACAGTAAAATCCCACAATGCGAGCCGACAGTAAAAACCAGTCAATTTCAAACCTTTGTGTGAGAACAAGAACCAATAACAATGACAGAAATAAAGAAGACACAATTTATTGGCTCAAACAATATGCTACTTTTAGCAAAGTTGGTTCTTTTATTAATTGTGATGATAAGAGGTTACTAGCAATACATATTGAAGTGAAACTTGTTGATCAGATAAGGAGAAACCGACAACTGAATACAGATGCAACAAAAGAAACCAAGAATGTTTAACGTTCTCTCTTCTGTGAGTTTGTGCGTGTCAGAGAGAGAGAGAGAGAGAGAGAGAGAGAACTGACCAGCATTTTGGTGGGTTCTGCGAAACCAAGATTCAGTCTTGCAGAGTTGCAGACTTCTTATGGTGGAAAGAAACAAATATTTTTGTTACACTCGGCGACGGATTCCCAGGAAAAACTAACTGAGAATCAAATGGATGGTTTCACTTTCATTATTCCCCAAAATGGGAATAAAAGACGCAACTTTGATGGAATGAACCAGCAAAGAAATTAAAAATGGTAATGTTGGAGAATGGAGTGGAGAGTTTTGGATATGGTGTGTGGATGGCTGCCAGGCACAACCTACGGCCAACCCCACCACCGCCAAACCTCAGCTCGTTCAAACTATAGTAAACATGTTAATGAAGTTACCATAAAACTGGACTTCCGTAGTTCCGTATGAAATGGAGGACAAAAATTAATTTTAAAAGCCAGACAAACAAATTTTTAAAAAGTGAAGTCATAAAGTCCAACATTTTTTTTTCCAAGTGGTAATATTTTGGCATTGATGGAAGGTCAGGATCGAATACCATAATGGAATATGGACTCTTTAGGCTATAATAGATAGAGAAAATATAGAACAGATACATTGTAATAGAGTTAGTACTAAAAAAAAAAAAACAATTTGCAAGTTAGTAATCTTGTGACAACTCTAATACAAGTATTCTTAACCCAAACCCAATGAAAGACAAAGAGAGTCAATGTCAGTCTCTACTGAAGCTTGAATTCACAACCTCTTATATGGAAGTTCAACCTTGGTGCCATTAGACCACAAGATCTTGCTTTCTAAACTAATTTTATTTAATTAAATATATATTTTTTGAATGTTGATTAAATTTTTAATATTATTTTCAATGTTTGAGTTTTATTTATTTATTTATTTTTTGGAGTATTCCATGTTTGAGTTTTAGTAAAGTGTTTTGTTTCTAAAGGATTAAGTTCAATTCTTACTAATAATATTTTGATATCTTATTATTATTTACAAATTACATAATGTGGAAACTCTTTTACAGCTCGTTTGGTTCGCTGGAAAATATTTGAAGGGAAATGGAATTAGAATTTCATGGAAAATAAATTCTAAGAAAACAGATTTCATTGTTTGGTTGGTGGAAAAGAAATTACTGGGAATATGAATTCCATTATTTGGTTGAGTTTGGAATGGTAAGGAATAATGAGTATAATGACAAATATAACCCTTCACAACAATAATAATATAATAATAATAAGAGTAATTAATAAAGAATGGTGAGGGTAAAAATTGTCATATTAGTTTTCAATGGAAAAGGTTTTCCATGGAAAACAAAATACCTAGCATAAGCTAGGAATTTGTTTTCCTTGTTCTTAAGGAAAACTTTTTCCAATGGAAAATGTTTTCCATCCAACCAAACAACATAAAACATCATTTTCCTTCACTATTAGGAAAACATTTTCCATGGAAAATGTTTTCCATCCAACCAAACACCCCCTTAGGGTGTGTTTGGTTCACACATGGGAATCGGAATTAAAATGGATATCAAATACTTGGTAATGGTAATGGGTTTTGGTGAAAGTATTTTGCATATTTGGTAGTAGGGTAGAATGCGAATGATTATCAATATTGTTGTTTGATTATGTATGATGAGCAATAATGGAATGAAACCCTTATTTTATTAGTGAATGAGTTTTTCAATTAAGGGGTAATCAAAACTCATAATAATGTTCTAAAAACCTGTCAACCAAACAATATCAATGACTTTAATACTCATTCCTAATAGCTAAACCGGTCGACCAAACACACCCTTAGTAAGGATGTAATAAAGTCGAGTCAAACTCAAACGGTCAAGCTCTAATGTTTTAGTTGAGCTTCACTGCTAATTGAGATTGACTCACACAGTCACACAAGCTAACTAACGTTTTTTTTTTTCTTATTCTTTACACACAAATATATATATATATATATATATATATATATATATATATAATTATAGACATTTTACAACTAAACATTATAACAAAACTTAATAACATATATCGATTATAATCATATATAATAGGGGCACACTCTCATGTGAATGGCCGCCCAGAAGAGAATTAAGAATTATCCAGCGCGTGTCATTTGGTCCATATAAATGACTTATATGTGCAAGTAGTTGATGCACCTTTGCAAGTAAAAAGTGCAAGTAAAATCACTTACAAGTGCACCTACTTTAACCTACAAGTGCATGTAATTTTGTCTTGTTAATATTCATTGATCTGAGTTTGTTCTGTTTGGCATCACTTTTGTTCTTACGGAGGAGTTCAGCGGGTAGTTAGTACCCGTGAAAATCACCCGCAAACATTCATGCACTTAGGTGCACCTAGTTATAACTATAGGTGCATCTAGTTATAACTATAGGTGCACCTAGATCTGGACACGTGGCGCGGACTGGATGGTTTTCAATTCTCTTCTGGGCGGGAAGTTCGCACCTAAACGCGATCCCATATATATATATATATATATATATATATATATATATATATATATATATATATATATATGGATGCACTCAGGTGCGAATAAGTGCCCAGAAGGGAATATGCGAACGAATTCGTGCGCGACACGTGTCCAGATATAATAGATTAAAAAAAACGCGGTGACATTTTCGTAAATAATTGAACATCGAAGTGCAAGTAAAATCACTTACAAGTGCACTCACTTTTACCTATAAATGCATGTACTTTTGCCTTGTTAACATTCACTTCCCGCAAACATTCGTGCACCTGGGTGCACCTACTTTCACCTATAAGTGCATGTAATTTTGCCTTGTTAACATTCACTTCCCGCAAACATTCATGCACCTAGGTGCAACTACTTATAACTATAGGTGCACTTAGTATTGATGCTCAGTGTAAATTTTACTTGCATCTATAATACATTTACATGCACTTGTAATACATTTTACTTGCACTTTGATGTTTAATTATTTACGAAAATGCCACCGTGTTTTTTTAATCCATTATATATATATATATATATATATATATATATATATATATATATATATATATATATATATATATATATATATTGGTAGGGAATATCCCGACCGACATAGCTTTACCCCGACCGGTGTGCCTTTGCCTTTTTCTTCTTGTCTTTGCAGGTAACAGGTCGGGTTTCTTGTGAAGAACCCGGTCGGGATCCGACCGGGAGTTGCCCGAGCGGCAGTGTCGACCACCGAGCGGTAGCCCTTTGGCGAGAGAGCTGACGAGAGACACGTGGCGGCTCCACGCGGTGACATGCAGGGCACTCGGGACAACGACACGTGGTTGCTACGTGGGAAGCATGCCGAATGGCCGGATTTGTGTCTCCGGCTCCGCGGCTATAAATAGGGATGGCAATTTCAATCCGACCCGTGGATATCCACCCGAATCCACCCCGCATGGATCGAGTTTTTTTGGGTGATGGTGGGTGGTGGGTCTTAAAAAAGCAAACCCGCGGTGGGTCGGGTTGGATTCGGGTTCTATGTACAAGACCCGCCTAGAACCCCACCCGACTCACCATGTGTGTGTGTGTATATATATATATATATAATAGTAAAATAAGTACTAGTATGTAGTTATTTATAATAGTTTATATAACTTCGTGTATCTTTTTAATATTTTTTATATCAAAACTACTAAGTTTATTTTTAAAAATTAACAATTTTGTTATTATATTTAAATATTTCCATTATTTATGTTTTAGTATCACTAATGGATTTTATTTTTTTATTATGTGTAAATAATTTAAATATTATTTTTTAAAAAACATAATAAGATGATAAGTGGTGGGTACCCATAGTGGGCACTCGCATCCGGTGGGGGTGGGCGAGGGTTGTGAAAAAGTCCACCCGATGCGGGTTGGAGGTGGGGGTGGGTGGAGAAAATATAAGGTGGGTCGGGTGATGAATGTAGCCCTCCCCGACCCACACCCGACCCATTGCCATCCCTAGCTATAAATACCCGCGATAGCGACAGTGTGAGGGACTTTTGGACGATCAATAGGTTGTTGTTAGAGAATCCCGACCGCAGTCAGTCGGTACTCAGAGCAACCAAGTAGATTGTACTTAGGGCCTTCACAGTGATCAATAAGAGTTATTTACTTGCTTTAATTGGTCTCGTATTTATTTAATTACCACTTACATGGCAATTAACACTATCATATATATATATATATATATATATAGAATTGCACTCTGGTGCGAATGGAGCGCCCAGGTGCGAATATGCGAATGCATAATATCCGTTCACGTGTCCAGATCTAATGGATGAGAAACACTGATTTTAAAAAAATGCAGTGACATTTTCGTAAATAAATGAACATCGAAGTGCATGTAAAATGCATTACAAGTGCATGTAAAATGTATTATAGGTGCAAGTAAAAAGTTACACTGAGCATCAATACGAAGTGCACCTATAGTTATAAGTAGTTGCACCTAGGTGCATGAATGTTTGCGTGTGGCTTTCAGGGGTATTACTACCCGCTGATCGAACTCAAATCAATGAATGTTAACAAGGCAAAATTACATGCACTTGCAGGCGAAAAGTAGGTGCACTTGTAGGTGAAAGTAGGTGCACCGATTAATGAATGCTGACACGTGACGCGCGCTGATTGGTTCACATTTCTCTAATGGGCACTTATTCGCACCTGAACGCGACTATATATATATATATATATATATATATATATATATATATATTTACATTAAGGTAAAAACACATCTTAAAATACAAACCTATGGACAATTTGACGCCGTTGGATGGTGGTATTGGACGGTCCTGATTTTTTTTCTCTTACGCGCTGTGTGCATGTAAGTATGTTAATGTGTGCACGAGCTTTGATTAATGGTTGTGATTTTTCCTCCTACGCGCTGTGTGCATATAAGTATGTTAATGTGTGCACGTGCTAATCCCAGAAATTATTGGCAGTGCGCCCTGTGTGCATGTAAGTATGTTAATGTGTGCACGAGTTCAAGTTTGTATTTTAAGGAGTGTTTGTATTTTAAGGGAGTTTGTATTTGAATGCAACCCTATATATATATATATATATATATATAGACGAGTTCAGGTGCAGCAGTGTCTTACGGTGCGGCGATTTTTTACGGTGCGGCAACACCAATAGTTCAACAAATATGCACCATCAACGTTAGGAAAATACACCACAAAAAACAGAGTAAACAAAGCCCTGCATCACCAAACACACACCATTAGGTGTGAGTAAAAACACCATACACTGTTCAGAAATACACCATTGGGGGTGGTGAGTTATATGGTGTATTTTTTTGAGTCTGTTGTGTATTTTGTGATGTTTTATTGCATT